CTCGCTGCGGGTGGCCGAGGGCACCCCTGGCCCAACCCAGGCCCCCAGAAGCTCGACGCGGCAGTTTGCTCGCCCTCCTCGGCCTCCAGGCGCTCTCGCCGGGCCCCGGGGCCGTCAGGGAGCGACTCTGAAGGGGCCTTGGGACACACAAATAAATACACACAAATGACAGGATGTCCCATATTTTCTCTTATTTTCTGGTTTTTTGTCTCCCCCCCCCACTTCCCATACTTTGCCATATTTTCTGGGAAATCGGCGATTCATTGTGTCTGTGCGTTTTTCCCCTCCTGAGACTCTGGCGGAAAAGTTGCCCGTGGGGAGAGGGTTGGGGCTTCTGGGGGCCCCGCATCGAAAAGTGCACGACGACGGGCGTATGGGAAAGTGTCCTGGCGCTTTGGAGGCCACCTGGGCCCTCCCAGATCCTCCTGCCGACCAGGGAAATGGGAGCCACCTGGGGTCGAGACGTCCTTACCCTCCCTTCGCTGACCCATGATCCAGGTGCTGTCGGACGGGGCCAGGGCGTGGAGAAAGCCGTTCCAGAGCGTCGTGGAACGCTCTCAGAGCGTTCCGGAATGCTCTGAGAAGGCCGCGGCGCCCGAGATCCTCCAGAGCCTCCAGATCTCCGAGCTTCTCGACTTATCCTCGCTCGAATTCATCCTCGCCCTGGCTTCCTCTTGAGCTGCTTCGTCGCCGGCCCGTGCTCGCGGCAGGGCCCTGGCCGGCCCGGGGCTTGCGCTGACCCACACTGGCGCGTCGCCGACCACTGCGGGGCCGGCCCTCCCGAGCGCGCTCCCGCCACCGGGGCAGAGGGGGGGGGAGGCCGCGGGGGCACCTTTTCCGCAGCTCGGCCCCCAGGGGGCCACGCCAGTCGCTGCCAGGCCAAGAGCGCCAGCTCCTCGCCTCGGCCCGGCACGGGCGCGGGGGGACCCGCGGAAGCGCTGCCAGTGGGACAGATTCGGCTCGAAGAAGAAAGAACGCCATAGATACAAACGTCTGCCGCTCCGCGCGGATTTCTTGGATCCGCGCTGGGCCCCACCCCCCCCGCGGCGCCTCCAGCGCCGCCCCTGGCGCGCTCCGCGCGGCAGAGAGGGGCGTCCAGCGCAGGCCCAGGAAGTCCGCGCGGAGCGGCAAACGTTGTATCTCTATGCCGTTGATCTTCTGTGCGACTACACGTACAGTCGGACCTAGGTATATTACACCAGAGAAAAACCCCAATCATTGGATGGTTTTCGTTGAGGAGATCGACTGGGAACCGGGGAGCCCGGGAACCCAGAACCCACCGAAGTCGGCCCGGAACCAATAACCGGGAACCTGGGAACCCGGAACCGGGAACTTGGAAACCCAGCTTGCTACCAAAATCGGGGGGGCAATTTTCGCCAGATCCTTCAGCTTCCGCTGAGGACCCCTTCAGTGCAAGCACTGATTGGAATGAGATCGGGGTCGGTCCCGGGGGGGTGCCTCATAAGGTTCTTCGTGCCTGCTTGCGTGTAGCCGGCGTAGCGCACGATGCGCGCGAGAAGCGTGCCGGTCTGGGCGGTGCGCCCTCGTGCGAGAGCTGGCCCCCACGGGGGGCGCAGGTGGAGCCGCAGTCGATACGATCTCGGGGTCCCCCAGCGTGTGGTCCTACACCGCAGGGCTCCCACGAGAGGGTTTCCCACGGCAGGCTCCCACCCCATGGGGTCTCGCCATTTTGGGCCGCCGTTGGGCCGTTTTGGGGCCCTCTTGGACTGCCTGGAAGCCCTTCCGGACGCTTGTGGGGCGATTTGGGAGCCTCCCATGCGGCTTCTGGCGCCCAGAAGACCGCCGTCGTGAAGCGTCGGGAAGCCGAAAAGAGGAGAACCCCCAAATTCATCAAAAACCAACAGATAATCAACGAGGCGCTTACACAAGACGGTCCCTCACAATGGGTTTGCCACGATAGGCTCCCACTCGAAATGCTGCCACACCAGATTGTCCTACTTGAGAGGGTCCGCATGGGAAGGTGACAAACAACAGGGTCCCACACGATAGAGACCCACCCAATAGAGTGCCTTCCTGTAGGGCACTACACGGCAGGGTACTGGATCCCACAGGATAGCGCCCCATAAGATGGGGTCCCTCGCGCTCTGGCACAATATTGAGTCCTACGTGACAGGGCCCCACTCCCACACGATATGATCCTGGACGATAGAGTCCCACACGATAGGGTCTCTCCCGAGGAGGCTGCGCACGATAGGGTCCAACACGAAAGCGTCACACACTGCAAAGAGACTCACACGATAGGGTCCCGCCCGATAGGGGGTTCCCACGATAGGGCCCTACAGCAGGATAGGTTCGCACACCATAGGGTCAAACACGAGGAGCTCCTGCGCGACAGGTACACTGCAAAGGCCATACGGCCGGTGCCGCCGACCCTGAAGGGGGAAACGACGATGACGATGCCGCCGACGACGAGGCCGACGACGACGACCCCGACGACGACGCCGACGACGACGACGACGACGACGACGACGACGACGACGACGACGACGACGACGACGACGACGACGACGACGACGGCGGCGGCGGCGACGACGACTGCGGCGGCGACGACGACGACGACGGCGCTGACGCTCTAGAGCCCTTGTTGCCGCTCTCTTGGGAGCCTCTTGGGCTCGGTTGGGGCCGTGGTCACTTGGAGCCGCCTCGGAGAGGTTCTGAGGCATTCCGAAGGCATGCATGAAAATACGCAGCACCCCTCTGCACCAAATAGTAAGAGTGAGGAGGACGCCTCCAGGGAGGGGGGAGGGGGGTCAGGAGGAGATGGGGGTGGTGGTGGTCACCTTGTCAACAGGGGGAGGCGGGGGAGGGGTCCTGAGTTCCCCATGTCCAAAGGAGGGATCGGGAGGGGTGGGGGGGAGGGGGGAGAGCCTTGAATTCCCAGTGTCCACCACCCTGTCCCACCTGTCCACAGGGGCGGACCCCCAGGGAGAGGGTCACGACCCCCCAGACCCCCCTGGCGACCCCCCCCTCTCAGGACCCACCCCCCTTCCCCCCGGCGGGGAGGGGACTGAAGGGAAGGGGCGTCCCTTCGACTCCGCTACGACGGTGTTCGATTTCCGTCTGGCTGGATCGCAGGAGGGTGGCGATGGCGACGACGACGACTCAAGCGGAAAAACGTCTCACACACGCCGACCGGGTCGGCGGATTCTCGCAAAGACGGTCCCACACGACAGGCTCCCACCAGGTAGGGTCTCACAAGATAGAGTCCAACACGGCAATGACCCACACAGCCGAGACCGACATAATGGGGTCCCAGAGATCGTGCCCCACAGTTTGCATTGCACAGGTTACAGAAAATATTGGTGTTGTGTCTACGTCGGCATCATGCGTGCTGACTTTGTTTCGGGAGCAATGCGATTCGCTTGTCGATGCCGACGAGTTGCTCTTGTAGGTTCGCTCTTCGAGCTCGTATTCCTTGGCCTTGGTAAGCCTCTTCCTACCGACCCGCTGCACGCTTGTACCACGCAAATGTGCGAGCTGCTTGGAGCTCGGCTGGAGGTCGAACAGCCTCTGCCGCAACTGGCCATCTTGCTTTGCGAGCCGTCAGGACCGGCGCCTTGCGCGTGCGCTTTCTCGCCATGCACGCCTCCAGGCCTGCATTGACGCCTGAGCGACGCCAACAAGCTGGGCCGTCTGCGCCGGCATTGGCGCGCAAGCTGCCCGCACGAGGTCGCGCGCAAGCGCCCTCGTCTCCACCGTGGCGTCGCCGCGCTGGCGGCCCGCGCAAACCACCGCGCAGGATCGCTGCGCCACCTCGCGTAGGACCCGTCTCTTTTCGACGCTCACCCAGCGCTGGCGTCCATCCGTTGTCGAACACGTCGGCGGCGAGGCTCGGCCGCGCGCACCAGGGGGCGTAGGGGGGTGGGTGAAGGCTTCTGAGAGGCACCCGTGCTCCTTAGAAGGCGCGGGCCTCACCCGTAGGTGCAAGGCCCGCGCCTTCTAAGAAGCAGCCTCCTTCCAGGAAGCTTCCCCCCCTCCCCCATACAGTCAAGACGCTGAAATAAGGAACAGTTTGGGTTCGGAAGGGGCTCGATGTTCCTTAGGTTCCTCCAGTGCTGTTCCTCTTGCCCTCCTGGGGCACGGAGGCGCTTACAGGGCCAAGAAGGGGCTTCGTTCCTTATTTAGCGTTCCTTCTTTCAGCGGCCCGACTGCACCGCCTGTGCGCGCCGCCAGCACCCTGCGCCGGCGTCCATCCGTCGTCGGACACGTCGGCGGAGTGGCAGCCGATCGCCGGCGCGCTGCCCGCGGCGCTGTCTTGCCCCAGGCCGCGCCTGCCTCGCCTTGGCCTTACGTCGGGCCTGTCCCTCCACAAAAGGATAAGTCAAAAATTGTAAAAAATAGTCTGGGGACGATTTTTGAACGTTCTTAAACTATTTGTTTGGCATGTCTTGACCGTCTCTTCCATCCACAGTCCGCCTGCAGTGGGACATGCCCAGCCGCTGCGGCAGGCCCGCTGGCCGACACAGCCGCGAGAGCGCCGAGGGCCTTGGCGATCGAGAGGCAGCGCGACCGCGGCTTGAGTGTCGTCAAGGGTGTCCGCGGTCTGGCCCTGCCGACAGGGGGCGCAAGAAGACAGGAGACCGCACAATTCAGATGGACACAACACCACTGGGACCACCAGAGAACTCTCCTAAGGGCCCCCCCCTCCCGTGGACCGACAGGGGAACAGGATCGCAAATATTGAGGCCTCTCACACGCAGTGACATCAGTGGTATTGCTCGCACCTACCTACACGTCGAATGGAAGGGGGTATTTCAGAGGTAGACTTGAACTACTACAGAGAATTTCTGATGCAGCGTATTACAACACAGGGCTTGTGTCGGACATTACATCCATGGTTCGACCATCGACCAGCACGTCCAGAGAGCGAAGTGAGTCTAGAGAGAGGGTGGGACTCTGTTCGAAGCGTGCGCCCAGCAGGACCTTGGTAGAATATGACTCAGGCCCCCCAGCATAACTCTGGCACGACAAAGGGGCCTTCTGCATTCCCTCCCTCCTCCCCCTCCCTCCTGCGTCGTTGAGGTGAGGTCGCGTCGTCTCCTTCCCCCCTACTTGGGAGCCGTGCTCGCCCAGCGCGTTCCCAGTGGAATGGGCACGCGAGAGGGCCAACAGACAATTCCCCCTGCAGTGACCCGCAGGGACTCGCGCCCTGTCCTGTCCTGTCTTCCTCCTCCTCCTCCTCCTCCTCCTCCGCCTCCTCCCTTTCCTTGCCCTCTTCCTCCTCCTCCTCCTCCTCCTCCTTTTCCTCCTTTTCCTCCTTTTTTCCTCCCTTTCCTCCACCTCCTCCTCGTCCTCGTCCTCCTGCCTTTCCTCCTCCTCCCTTTCCTCATCCTCTTGCTCCTCCTCCTCCTCCTCTTCCTCCTCCTCCTCCGTATCCATGTTGGCTCAAGTCTTTGAGCTGGCACTGGGGAGCAGCGGCCCCACAGTCTCAGGGACGGGTGCCCGTCCCGTTCCTGCAACCATTCCTCCCACACGAAGATGGCGAGGAAAGGCGATTTCACGGTATGCTCGTGCGGCAATTGGGCGTTCAATTTCCGGATCCAGAGAAACGGTGGCAAATGTGCGAAGTGCGGGCATCGGTGGACTTGTACCAGAGATCACCTCCGTGGCGCTCGAAGAGGCAGGGTTCGCGGTATCATTACCGAGCGACGGAGACGACCACGGGGCCCACGAAGGTCGACCCTGCAGCACTTCTTGAGCAGCTTGCCTCCCTTCCGCAGTTCACCAAGGAGGTCAACACGTTACGTCAGGCGCAAGAGAGGCACAAGGAGAGCCAGGTGGTGCAGGTGTCTCCCCAGGAGTTCTATACGATGTCCGCGAAGGAACTCAAGTGGGAGGCGGACGCCCTCGAGAGGGCTTCCAAGGCAGAGCTCGAGGCGGAGCACAAGTTGGAGGTCGCCAGGGAGGCCACGAAGTGTTTGGCCCTGGAGCACGCCAGAGCCAAGAAGGAGCATGCGGACGCGGTGACACGCGTGGCGGCGGAGGCCAACATCCATCATGTCCCGCAGGGCTACACGTCGGACGGGAAGCGCGCGGTCTTCGCGGTGGACGACACGCTCTTCCAGGACATCGGCGCTTCCGACGAAGAAGAGCAGCGGGTCTTACGGGCCCTGGAGGCCACGATCAAGGAGAAGTGCGACCAGGTGGCGGCTACCCAGCAGGCGGTTCACGAGCAATTCACATAGGTCAAGGACCTCCGTTCGGGCGCTACGAAGCGACAGCGAACGGGCGAACAGGGACAATCGGCAGTGGGCACAGGTGGCACTACGGAGCTCGACCCACCGACCGAGGACCAGCGAGGGGAGGCGAAGCGCACCGAGCAGTCGAACGAGGACTCCCCCGAGTTGCTGGCGGCAGCAGAAGCGGACAGAGCAGCGGCATTGGAGCCTGAGCGCAAAAGGATCGCGAACAATGCCAAGGCTTGCGGCAAAGGTGCTTCATCGTCTGCTTCAGGTTCTGGCGCTGCTGCTCAGCGTGGGTAACAGTTTCGGCGGGGACACATCCAATACAGCATCGAGTACGGCCAAGCCGAGTTCAAAACGACTCTTCAGTAATATTTCAGAGTGGGGACCATTGGCTAGGTCCTTCATGCGAGAGCAGGCAAAGCAGTATGATAACATTGGTTGCACGGAGACTCATCAGAGATGACATCGTCTGCAGGAGGCGAGGTCTGACTTGGGGCGCGACGGCCGGAAGCTCACAGCCACAGAGGCTACTATGACGGGGAGGTCTAGCGAGGGCACATCAGGTGGGGAGTAGATCATTACACAGAAGCGAATGGCATCCACTTCCTTTGAACACATACGAGAGTCAGAGCGAGTCCGCACAGGGCGCTACTGTTTCCAAGGATTCGCCCCTCTGCTATGGCGCGCTCGCATGGGCAACATTGTAGTCGCGGTGTGCTACCTACTCCTCGGGTGCAAGTTTCGAGGGCCGAATGAGAAGACCCTGGTCAGACTGGCGTCCTTCCTTAGCATGGTCAAGGAGCCCTGGTTGGTGATTTTCGACTGGAACACGCATCCTTCTGAGTGGGCAACGACATCCTGGCTGGAGAGGCTGGGCGCTCAGGTCATCATTCCATCCAACGGCGAAGTTACGTGCAACAGGGGTCGCGGCACGCTCATCGACTACGCGATCGCGAAGCGCGGGATCCCGACAGCCATGAAGCTATCAATCGCGCCCGAGGTAACCTTGAAGACCCACGCAGGACTGGCGCAGGAGGTGAAGTGTGCGAAGACGGGGCGGCGGCACAGAGCATTGGACATCGCCCGACCCAGAGAGCAAGAGGTAGAGGAAGTTAGAGGAAGCTCGATTACGCAGACAACAGCATCTGGAGGACCATTTGCAGGAGGCTTTCGAGGAGATGCAGCATCCGCAGGTTAAGGACAGCGGGGAGGAGAGCGCCCCCTCCAACATTGATCACGAGGCCTGGGAGCAGGCGCGGATGCTAGAGAAGACCCAGGCACCATTCCTGGAGGAAAAGCGGGAGCCTGTCCCGCACTTTCTCCCGGATAGGGACATGCCAGCCAGGGGCAGGTTGGCGCCCAGCTACGCGGACTGGGCGACGACGCCCGAGGAGGCCACCATCATCACGCACAAGCTCGAGCAGCAGGAGGCCGACATGGTCAGGGGCAGAGCCAAGGGCTATGCGTGCAGGTGGGAGCGGACGCGCGCGACCCCCGATCGCCTTCACTTGCGAGACCCAGTGGCAGAGTGGTGGAATATATGCAGTACTCTCATCAAGCGAGCGGGAGTACTACGGCAGTCTCAACGAATTTCCGGTTTACAAGTGGTCTTCAGCAAGATCGAAAACCTGATGGGCATTAATAACATTACGGACATGTTGGCGATTTTCCACAACGAGGGCAAGTTCAAGTGTTGGTTAGGCATGGTCACCATGATTTCAGGTTTAGACGATTCGGATTTCTCTGACATGCAGCATATGGCAAATCAGTTTCTCAACAGAGCGATTGGCCGATCCCTATCGAAGGCGAATCAGAGTTCCCAGCAGTGGGTGATTCGCACGTGGAAGACTACTCCAGGAGTAATCCACAGGTATACGCGAGGAGTGCTCGACAAGGCCGATGAGATCATTGGCACGGACCGCGTATTCGCCTCACTGCGATGATGGACTACCGAGCGGAGAAGTGGCAGAAGGTGTGGAGCAGCGAGAACTTCAGGGCTGAGAAAATAGACTATGGGCTTGAGATACGCGCGGCAGAGAGCCTTGCAGCAGGAGCGCGAGCTGATCACGGCAGAGCAGATATACGAGGCAACAGCAAGCATGAATGCGAAGAAATCGAAGGGCATAGACGTAATGGGGCCAGTGGAGGTTCAGAGGCTACCACGGGCAGGTGTTCAACAGTTGGGGCGGTTGCTCAATGAGATAGAGGAGGTAGGTATGTGGCCCCACAGGTCAACCTCGTCATTTGGAGCGATCGCCCCAACGCCAAGAGGAGGAGATTGAGTCTGGGCGAAGATACGCAGCTCGGCAACTTTGCAATGGACCTACGATGCGGACGAGCATTGCGACACAGCGGTCCGCGGGCCTTCCGCTTTGCAAGCTGCGTTGGTCCGAGGGCTGTTAGGCGAGTCAGCACGGGAGCTTCACATATCGTCAGCTACAGTATTGTTTGACATAGAGAAATTCTACGATAGTCTAGACATCACAAAGTTGTGTGCAGCTGCCCTTACACAAGGGTTTCCCGCCATGGTCTTGCTCATGGAGTTACAGATACGCCTGGCGCCTAGGGTGCTGAAAGATCGCGGGTGGGTGTCTCACAGACTCCAGGCGCAACGTGGCATCGTGGCGGGCTCTCTCAATGGAGGTAGAATGGCAAAAGCTTTCCTCGGCGCGATCACTGCAGATTCTTCTCAGAACGTTTGTAGACGACACGGTTATTCGAGTTGAAGGTGCGGCGAAGCAGACTACCTTCACGACGATCGCAGCAGCCGCCACGGTATGTGAACAGCTACAGCAAGCGGGATTAGTCATCAGTGAAGGCGACGGTGGTTGCTTCGGACAATGGGATTTTGAAGGAGGTTACAGTGGGTCTACGACGACGAGGTCTTCCTGACACTCCTGCGCTGGAGGCTGTGGACCTGGGCATGGACACCAGCGCAGGGCGTCGTCGGACCTGCAGCAAAGCTAACGAGAGGAGAAAGAAAGCAGCCAAACGAACGCGGGCGATCAAGAGAATCAGAAGACGCGCCAAATTACGAGGCATTACGACAGCTTTATGGACCTCGGGCTCACGACCACAGGGAACATACGCGCATCAAGCGTTTGGGGTGGCAGGACACGCTATGACAGAGTTGAGGAGACTAGCGGCGCAGTGTTCAGTGGGTGCAGGACCTGGACGCCGCTTAACAACGTCATTGGCGATGGTATACGGCAATAAGGATCCAGCCAAGTCGCTGAAGATGTGGCTGAAGATGCGGCGCGGATACCTTGAACTGCATGCGCGAGTGGCGACGGCATGGGTCAGCATCCGCAGGCGACTATTACTGGCAGGATCACGCAGATGGCGACTGGTGAGGGGTCCGATTGGCGCTGCGATTGCAACCTTGATGGATATAAGTTGGGCCCCACATTCACCTATGCAATGGGATTCAGCAGTGGCAACATGGACGATTCCCTGGCATGCAGACGGTGCGCACGATCAGTTCTACAGCGACTTCACGGACATCATGATTGGCATAGAGGACACCATAGCTAGACAACTATGGTGTATGGCTTCGAGGCATGAGAACGGCAGTGACCTGCGCGACGGGGCGGACACGTACCAGGTGCCCAGGGAGCTGCGCGGGCTCCGGCGACTGGGCGCTGAACGTGGTGGTGACGACAGGGGGCCAGTGGCCTCGTGAGAGGTTGCTTCAGGCGGGGTACAACACCCCTAGCCCTCTCTGCCCGAGGTGCCAACAGGTGTCTGAGAGTTTGTTTCGCCGCATATGGGAATGCGAGGCCAACGCTGGCCATCCTGATTTCACGAAATCTGATTCGTGGGTTCCCCAGGCTAGAGCGAATCACGAGAGTTCGCCAAGTTTCTGGCTCCGAGGGATCCCTGGACGGGCAGAGACTGTCCCGACCTTTTATGACGGGCCCCCCCTAGTGTATCGATACGGCTCGATCCAGGACATTCCCAGAGACGCCGAAGGTTTCGCTACCGCGTTCGGGGACGGTCCGGGTGGGAGGTTCTCTGATGACCCTCGGCGTCGACGGGTTGGTTCTGGAGTTGTAGTTCTGGCCCCAGATGGCCAGGTGTGGAAGTCGGCCTGGGGTTTCGGCGCCACCCTCCCTGGAAAGCGCCAGAGTGTTCCTCGCGCGGAAATCACCGCGTTCGCGATTGCGGTCGAGGAAATCCCAGGCCGATTGTGTTTCGTTACCGATCATCAGTCATTGTTGAAGTCCTGGGCCAAAGGTCACACTTTCGGTTTTGAGGCCCTGGAGAGGGGGTGTAACGCTGACCTTTGGGCCAGGATAGCCGCAGCTCTTCTCGCCAGAGAGCCCGAGGAATTTGGTGCTCAAATGGGTGGCCTCCCACCAAGAGGAGGTCGCACGCCACGGTGATCAGTCGTTCCTGCGTTTCGGCAACGAATGTGCCGATGCGTTGGCAGGGGCGATGGCAGAAAAGGCTTGGCCGGAATTCGTGGTGTCTGACCCTCCGACCGACCGTAGGGACGCGGAGGCGTTTTTGATCCGTCGGCGCGCGAGAAGGGCCCTGGGATTGGCCATGGTTGCGGACCCGTGGACCTATGAGCGCCTGACGGTTGAGTCCCAAAAACCGCTCCCGAGGTTGGCGAGAGAGCTCAGGGCCTCTGCGCACCGGTGGTGTCGAGTGGGTGCGAAGTTCTATTGTTCTAAGTGTTCGAGCTTTTCGAATCAGGATTCGATTTTCCAGGGGTGTGATACTCCCTGCGGCCCGGGGGGTGTTCAGGAATTCGAACCTATCTGTGGGAGGTGTGACATAGGTGGCAAAGTGCTCCGTCCGTCGCATTCCCTGCAGTACTGGAGTAAGTACTGCTTTACATTATGTAGCATCTGTGGCTTTAGTTGTACCACCGACCCCCGACAGTTTTTGAAAGTTTGCAAGCTCACCCTCAAGGGGAAGCAGAATCTGGCACGAATTTTGTCGGGCAAGTACCTCCACCCGTCGGGGCTTCCGAAAGCTGTGAGAGATGCGATGCGCAGCCAATTCCTGCAGCAAGGTGAGCCAATGCGGGACCTTCGATGTCCCTCCTCTGGAATACCCCTGGAATATCCTCCTCCTCCTCCTCCTCCTCCTCCTCCTCCTCCTCCTCCTCCTCCTCCTCCTTTCTCCTCCTCCTCCTCCAAGAGTGTCTCCATCGCAGTCGGTTGCGCTCGGTCGGCTCGGTTCGGTCTGCTGTGGTTTGCCGTTGCTGCCTCGTTGCGCCCTTCTAGGCTGAGTGCGGCTGGTCGGATTCGGTGTCGCCGTCGGTTCGGTCGGTGTTCGGCGTTGCTGCCGCGGTGGGCGTTTGCGAGCGCGTGGCCGCAGATGCTTGCTATTCCAGAGCTCTTACCAGCGTCCCAGGGCCGCGAACGCTCCAACATTGGAAAAAGCAGCTGGTCGTTGCAACTCCTTGGCTCGACAGTCTCACGATCGATAGGGCCTGAAGTGCCGTTTCTCTGTTCCTCCTGGTTCTATCCAGCATTCCCTCCCTGCCCGTTCCCAGCCCCTCTTCCCATTCCTTAGGCGGTCTTGGCAAGACAGCGACAGGGTTTGAAGCTGATGGTTTGCGTGCGCTAGAGAAGACGGAACGGCACACAGGATTTCAACACCCCAAGCGCATGTAAACACAGAAATGGGCATTGTCGTGGGGTTATTTGTGTTGGACTTCGGGGGCGAGTTTATCGTTTTTGTCTAGACAGCCGACGCCCCACCAGGTGGGGCAGACAGGGGCCTCTTGCATGCACGTGGGCCTCCTAGTGGCTGCGTGCGTTATTGTGAGAATGTGGCCCCAAGTTGCTGCACCATGCCCGCTCTCTCTTTGTTTTTCTCTCTCTCTCTCTCTCTCTTTCTCTCCTTCTTTCTTAAGTACTCTCTCTCTCTCTCTCGCTCTCTCTCTCTCTCTCTCTCTCGCTCTCTCTCTCTCTCTCTCTCCCTCTCTCTCTCTCTCTCTCCGAATGAACTGGCGCGTGCCGTCGAAAGCGTGTGCTCACAATGCCTCGTGCCTCACCAACAACGCTTTACAAGCCCTGTCCAAGCTCCGTGCATGCGAATGTTTAAGACAGGGGGTGGGCACAAATGATGCTCGGTGCAGTCAGCATGGTGAGAGGAAGTGGTGGGGCCATCGAATGTGGAAAGGATCTGCACGTTGATGTAGGGGGCAGCTACGAAAGCCTGCTACCTTGAGCCGCCCAGGTGAAGAAAGGGAACAGGATCGACCAGATCATCATCGAGACTACAGGCATGGCTGACCCAGTACCTATCGTGGGTGCCTCGGTGATCCTCGGCGGCAACGAATGTGTTCACCCACGTTGATATGTTTTTGTAAGCACCCATTCTCGATCGCAATGTAATGCCGGTCGCGAGTTCGAATGAGCCGTATAACGCGTGGTTAACGAATAGAGATTACATGACGAACTAAGGATTGTTGACGGAGGCCCCACAATAGGTGGCGGATATTCGCGGAACGCTCGGGGAGGAGGAGAAGAAGGAGTAAGAGAAAAAGAGGAGGAGGAGGAGCAAGGATCGAGCATCGAGATTGTTGGGCGTTTCTAGACTGAGGTCCGAACTTTCATGACGAACCCGGCAATTACGAAAAACATGCGCCTAGACGGTGTCATCACTGTCGCGGATGCAAAGCACATCACCGCCCGCTTGGATGACAAGGTCGAGGAGGGTAAAGTCAACGAGGCGTACCAGCAGGTCGCGTTCTGCGACAAGCTGCTGCTGAATAAGTTGGACCTCGTCACTGCCGAGATGGCCATGGACGTGAAGGACACCCGTGAAGGAAAAGGGTCTTGAGGAAAAGGGGCCCTGAAGGTGTTCCCCGTTTTCGGACCACGGGGCCCTTCCAGGCCCCCTGGGCCGTCAAGCACAGCCCGAGGGGAAAGACTGATCCCAGGGCGAGGCCGCACGGTCGAGCACCCATTTCCGCCAGGACCTTGTTCCCTTCATGCCAAGAGGACCGCCTTCGGTCGATTAATCCGTATGCAAAGATTCTGCCAGCAGTGAAGAGCCGCGTCAAAGTCTCGGAGCTCACAAATCTACGGGCACACGACATGTCCAAGTTCGCGAGCGAGGACATCGAGAAGGAGGCCGAGGTGGAGCGGTGACCCGCTTATTCGTCGGCGCACAGAAGCGCTGTTTTGAATGTGTAAAGACATAGACGTGTGTACTTGCAGGGGTCGGATACATACACACAGGCCGACACGTAACTCGTATAGGCGCATAGACTTGCCGCTGCACACACACACACACACACACACACACACACGTAGAACCGTGCACGTACGATCGCGCAGCGCGCGTATGGCATGTTTGACCAATGCACGTTTACAAGCGCGAGCGCAGAAGAGTGAATCCCACCCGACCCATACATAATTGCCAAGCGTTGTTCGAAAGCGTGCGCAGGGTCAACGATGCCAAGACACACACGACACCTCCCAGTGGGAGACGATAGCATGCTTTAGAATGGTCCGGTGGGAGAGCCAGCCAGGATCAATGCATTCCTTCCCTCAGCTCAGGTGGTGGAAGATGTGCACGGTCACGGAGGCCACAGCGGCCACGCAGGCCACGGAGGGCATGACAGCGGGCACGGCGGCCACGGGGATGGGCACGGCGAAGCTTGCACAGAGGACCATGGGCACGGAGGCGGCGGACACGGAGGAGGCCACGGAGGCAGCCACAGCAGTGGCGGTCATAGCCACGGAGATGGCCATGGGCATGTCGCTAAGAAAAGTAGGCACGACAGTCGCGAGCCCAGTTCAGTTGCAACACAAGAGAGACTTCGCCAGAGTTCGACCCGATCGGGATCGGAAAGTCGGGGCGAGCGCCAATCTTGCAGGAGCCAGAGACGGTCGATCGCAGAATAATCGGTTGTGCCAGCCTTGCGCTTGGCGTGTTGCTACAAGTTCGCCGCCCGCGTAGGCCATGATACCCTTGATAGGCACATGTTCATACATCTCAGAGGCGGTTGGGATTCTACCTTGCAGAATGCGGGACCACTGCATTAGAGTTATACAGAGGAGCCTTGCAGGCCCTGGCATTTCTATGCCTGGCGCGAGAGCAACGGAAATCGAAGTCTACGTTGACCCGCCGCCTCTGTAGTGTACAACTGGACAATCAGTATCTCGCACGTCGGGCATGTTTGAACAGCGTTATGATGAAAGGTCCCTGACTAGACAGGCACAACGTGACTGATCGGGAGCCCTGGCGATGCGAAACTGATGACGACGCGCGCCACAGACACTGCGGTGTTGTAAGCTTAGAAAGTTGTCTCGCGCATTCAGCGATGGCGACAGACCCAACCCTAAGCAACTGCGAGTAGCGCAAGACGCGACCACTTCGTCATAGGCAGGAGGAGGAGGAGGAAGAGGAGGACGAGGAGGCTGAGGAGGAGGAGGAGGAGCACGCGGCGAAAGGGGTGCAGGTCGAGGCAGGAAGGCGGCGTCGTCGTTATAGCCGTCGTCCGCGGTGGGCATCCGGAGGCGTTGCCAAAGTATTCGGTGGAGCTTCCCATGGCGCGTAAGAAGCGTGCCAAAATGGAGCCGCCCAGCATGCGTCCAGCGGCGGAGCTTTCTCTGGGGACACGCAGCGTGTGGCGGTTGCGGCGAGATTGGTTTGCCCAGCATACGAACAAATCCGAGGAGGAAGGAGGGAGGGGAAGTAGGAGGAGGAGGAGGAGGAGGAGGAGGAAGAGGAGGAGCCGGAGAGAGGAGGGAGTGGAAGGAAGTGGGAGGAGGGAGGAGGAGGGAGGAGGGAGAGGAGGAGGGAGGAGGAGGGAGAGTAAGGATGAGGGAGGAGGGGGAGGGAGGAGGAGGAAGGAGGAAGGATCAGTTAGGGGGGACAAAAAGTCCACTGGGGCCAGACGAGGGGTATCCTTCTGGGGGCCACGACCCGTGTGATGGTGTGCCGAAATGGAGCGCCCAGCATGCGGGCATGCCAACTGGGACCGTTGGGGGAGCTCTCTGTGAGGCTACGACGCGTGTAATGGGCGTGCCGAAATGGAGCCGCCCAACATGCGAGTATGCCCACTGGGGCCTTTGGTGGAGCTCATTATTATTAGGGGTTAATCGAAATTGAACCACCCAGCGTGCGACCAGTCCCACTGGGGCCGTAATTAGGTGAAGCTCCCTATGCAGCCACGAAAAATACAAGAAATGTGTCGACATGGAGCCGCATGCAGACATGCTCACTGGAGCCATCGGTGAAGCTGCTTGTAAGGCCGCGAAGCGTGTGACAGATGTGCCGAAGCGGACATGCGCAGAAGGTAGAGGCAAGGACGGGAGGTGGGTGCGGGAAGCAGAGGCAAGGAGCGGAGAGGGAGGATGAGGAGGAGGAGGAGGAGGAGGAGGAGGAGGGCACTGCGGATTCAAAGCGATGGCCCAACACAGGATGGCTTGCGGAACACGTACATACCGTTCAAATCGCTGAACTAGTCTTCGTGTTGCGTGTGTGGGCGGCTAGCTTAGGTCTCTGTCAATCCTGTTTCAGTTGCGTCCCAGGTTGCAGGGGCGAGTGGACAGCACATTGTATGTGAGTGTGGGGTCATTGCTACGAGAGAAATAACAGCACCCACGGAACTGAGGTCGCGTGAATTCGTTTGCCTTGGTCAGAGAAGGGGATATTATACCGCAGAAGCTCGGCAAGTTCATGCAGAGTCTGGGGACCTTGCCCGAGGAGAAAGGGTTGATTTTCCGCATCAAGGGCATCCTCGCAATAAAGAACCACCCGTACAAGCACGTGTTCCATGCTGTCATGGATGTCAGCGACGAGGACGATGCTGGAGAGTGGGGAGATGAAAAGAGGATATCAAAGATTGTATTCATAGGTGAACGGGTGACAACAATCACCGACTCAAACTCTACAAAGTGCGCAGCGCAAGAGACGAGGGGAGGATGCAGACTGGGGATGGGGATGGGGTCTGGCTGGGATTCGGAGTATGGGGTACGGGGTACAGGTGACGGGAGGGGGATGAGGGAGGGGATATGGGGATGGCGCGGGTGAAAGGAGAAAGGGGTGACGTGCTGAGGATCCCAATGTCAAGTTCCCATTGTGGTCGCAAGGCGTCCTGGTGGGGGTCGAGAGGATTCGATGTCTCGATATCTCGATATATCGATACCGGGGGCGGAGCTGGGCGGGGACTCGATACTTCGATAACTCGATATCTCGATATCGGGGGTGGGGCCAGGCGAGGACTCGATATCTCAATATCTAGATGTCGGGGGGGCGGGGGGGTATTCGATATCTCGATATCGGGGGATGGGGCGGCGGGGATATCGAATGCGGGGCCAGGCGAAGATTCGATATCTCGATATCTTGGTATCTCGATATCGGGGGGGTGGGGTCAAGGCAGCACGACCAGCATGGAGCAGCAGCAGCAGCAGCAGCAGCAGCAGCAGCACGATCATCATCCCCCTCTGAACGCGCACGCGGTCGTGGGCCGTCTTGGAGCGTCTCGGCGCGCACACGGTCGAGGGCTTCTGGCCGTCGTAGGGCCCTCCACGGTCTCTCCAGAGCTCCTCCGAATGCCAGGCCGCCGAGAGCCGTCGAGCCCGCGCATTTGCGCAAATTAAACTCTTGGCGCAGATAGGGTTTAGGGGCAGTCTGCGGGGTCCTGGGCCGTTTCGGAGTGGGCTTCGGGCCGCCTTGGGCCCTCCACGGGTTCCCTGGAGCTCCTCCTCAAGATTCCAGGCCGCCGACAGCCGGCGAGCCCGCGCAGTTGCGCCAATGAAAGTATTGGTGCACATTGCGTTCTGGGGCACGCTGCGGTGTCCTGGGCCGTCTTGGAGTGGGCTTTGGGCCGTCTTCGGCCCTCCACGGGCTCCCTGGAGCTCCTCTTCATGATGCCTGGCCGCCGAGAGCCGTCGAGCCAGCGCGTTTGCGCCAATGAAGACCTTGGCGCGCATTGGGTTCTGGGGCACCCTGTGGAGTCCTGGGCCGTCCTGGAGGGCTCCGGGCCGTCTTGGGTCCTTCGGGAGCTCCTCCTCACTATGCCAGGCCGCTGAGGAGAGCCGTCGACCCCGTCGGGCTTTTCGGCTGCAGCCCTGTGGATGTCAAAAGGCTGCGATATCGAGGTTTCCAGAGCGCGCCCTGGATATCGAGATATCGAGTTCGACCCCGCCGCCGCACCCCGATATCGAGATATCGAGATATCGAACCCCCGCCCAGCCCCATCCCCCGATATCGAGATATCGAGAGATCGCCACGACAGAGTATTCGCGATGTGCGAGTACGAGGCCATGGTAGGAGTACTGTTGGTTGCCTTGGCTTGTTTTTGGGAACGCGTCGTGGGCGTGCGGTTTCAAAACAATGTGTCCAACACGTTGGCCGTCTCTTGTTCTGTCATTGCGCAAACATTGAGGCACCACTGGCGCGTTGTAAACTTGTCGTCAAGGTGGCAGTTGGGCCACAGCCAGAGCCACAGCGTACCATCCACATGGTAGCAAAGATAGTACTTCATTGCCCAATGCATGCTGATGTCCTGAGCGACGTATACTGGCAGCGGAGGGGCAGGAGGCAAACATGCATTTGGGGCTAAAGGGAATGTGCGGCACCATGTGTTGGTTTGATTTTCCGATTCTCCGATAGGTAAAGGCATGGACCGAAAGTTCATTACCGACCAGTGGGACTTGATCTTCGACAGCCAATGAGTTACAATTGCGTCTGGTAATCCCGCTGATCTGATTTCCAATGCGTTTTGTTCAATGGTATGGTAGGGTTGGCAATTCTTCACGCTTCGCGTATCCCCACCAGCCCGGCCTGCCCGCCGTGGTGACGCCTGAGGCCCCGCCGCTTTAGGTAAGTCGTTTTTGCGCGGCCCGCTCTGACTCGACTCGCCGTGTGCGCTTTCGCTCGCGGCTGCTGACAAAAAGTATCCCCACCAGCCTGCCTGCATGGAGTTGGTCGATGCCTGCCGGTGCGTGTGACTCGACCGCCATTTGCGACGGAGCGACCGTTGGCCCTGACGCTGGTCCCCGTGGTGAGTTTTGCCGGTGGTCCCCATCATCCGCACGCTCGCGGTGTCGTTTCACCTGATTTCCCCGCCATTTTGGCGTTGCAATCCGCCTGGAGGTTCCCCCCAGTCGACGGCGCCCTCTTCTGAGCGGCGGCGAGGCCCGCGTCCTGTTTGTTCCTCCCCCCGCTGTCCTCTCGTCGCCTCCCTTCCTTCCCCGTGGCGCCATCAGCTCGTAGCTTGCTTGCTGCGACCTTTGACGGCGCCCGGTTTCCTCCCGTGCGCTCGCGGTCAAACAAATATCTCCACCAGCCCATTCAGAAGCCCTGCCCACGAGAGCTGACGGGGACACATCTAGGGAAACAAAGCGAGCAACCAGGATGAACCGAGAGATCTCTGGGAGCAAGGGGTTGACCTTGGAAGGCCTCTTCGGGCCATCCCTGGGGGCCGCGCGGGGGCGAGGGAAAGAGGAGGAGGAATGGGAGGAGGAAATGGAGGAGGAGGAGGAGGAGGAGGAGGAGGAGGAGGAGGAGGAGGAGGAAGAGGAGGCCTCTTGGGCGCCTCTTGGGGCACTCTTGGGGCCTCCTTGGAGGTTCCTGGGGGCCTCTTGGAGGGTTTTGGGGGCCCTTTAGAGGTTTCTTGGGGGCCTCTTTGGCAGTTTTAGGGCGTCCCTGGCTTGTCTGTCTGACGCCGTCTACGGTGTTCCTGGTTTGTCTGACGCCGTCGGAAGCCGTCTTGGGGGCCTGTCTGGGTCGTCTCGGGGCCCTCTTGGTGCATATCAGGGGCTCTCAGAGGCCATCCCGGGCGTCTTGAAGGCCTCTTGGGCCCCTCTTGGGGCCGTCTTGGGAGCCTTTGGGGCCGTCATGGAGCCATCTTGGAGGGCTCTTGGGCGATCTTGGGGGCCTCTTGCGCCGTCTTGAGCCGTCGGAATGCCGAGAAGAAGCAAATGCCAACATCTTTCAAACACCTCCGGAAAATCAATGAGTTTGGCCTCTTCGTGCCCTCCTCGAAGATGTCCTGGACGCCTTTTGGGCCGCCTTTGAGGCCTCTTGGAGGCCTCTTGGGCGTCCCGCGCTATCTTGAGGCCATCCTAGGCCGTCTTGGGTGCATCTTGGGCCGTCTTGGAGGCATCGCGGGGCCATCTTTGCCGTCTTGGTAGCTACGTTGGCCGTTTTGGAGGCCTCCTGGGCCCTCTTGGGGCCGCCTCGGGGGCCTCTTGGGCCGTCGTGGGGCCATCTTGGAGGCCTCGTGGACGATCTTGGGGGCCTCTTGGACCGTCTTGAGCCGTCGGAATGCCGAAAAGAAGCAAATACCAACATCTTTCAAAAAAACCAAAGGTACATCGATGATTTGGGCATCTTCGGGCCCTCCTGGAGGACCTCTCGGAGGCCTCTTGGGCCGTTTTGGGAGGCCTTTTCGAAGCTTTCTGGGCCGTCTTAGGCCATCCGGAGGCCATCTCAGGCCGTTTTGGGTGCATCTTGGGCCGTCTTGGAGGCATCTTGGGGCGGCCATCTTAGCCGTTTTGGGGGCCATCTTGGGCGTCTTGGAGGCCTCTGGGGCCCTTTGGGGGTAGTCTCGGGGCTCTCTTGGGGCCCTCTTGGGAGCCCTGGAAGGCCTCTTGGGGCCATCTCCAAGGCCATCGATCAAAGGAGGAGAAGGTATAACGTTCAGCCCCCCCCCCCTTCCCCGAACAAAGATGTCAAAATGGGTCCAAAACCTAAGTAAAACAAATGATTCTGACGCTCAGAAGGCTGGTGGGATAACGATCAGCCCCCCCCCCAAAGAGGCCAAAATGGGGCCAGAACCTTAGTAAAACCAATGAGTTTGGCACCCAAGGGGCTGGTGGGGCAACGTTCGCCCCCCCTCCCCCCCCAAAAAAGATGCCAACATATTGCCAAAACCTTACTAAAACCAATGATTGTGGTTTCCTCGCCGAGGCCGTTTTGGACGCCCTGACAACTCGCGGACCCCCCCAAGAAAGCCCTGGGGAGGGGTAAGGGGAGGGGTAAACCCCTCCCCGTAGGGGGGGAGGGATTTTCTGGAAGAGGGAAGAGGAATCTCGTTAGACCACATGCGCCCAAAGGGGTGGTGGGATTCCAGTGTCGTTGCGCGCTAGGGGGTTACTCGTTTCCTATTGTCCGCCCTTCCTCCCAGCTTGGAGCACGGAGTTTCTTTCTAACGTGTCCAGTTTGCTGAGATATGTCATACATTCGCGAGTTCCCAGGCAGCGTCAAATGTGAGAAATCTGCCTGGCCTAGCTTCTTGCGCAATGAAAGTCCCCATTCGATCGATAGTGTCCTTCGACTGTCGCCGATTGTTTTATCATGTTGGCTTCGTCATGTGGTCTGTGGTTTATAGCGTGGTCAGATCCTCATGTTGTCATCTGATTTAACAGACATCGACGTCGTACCCAAAATCGCTTCGGGTTTCATATCCAGCTGCCTTGGACAAACCACGCCATCGTGCCCGCGCGGCATTGACGTGTATGCAACACGTGCGCCGTAAGGTTCATACATGCTTGTATTGTCGTTCGGCACATTGCTTTTCGAGCTGAACCTTTTTGATATGAATGCATGTTGCACACGCATTGGTGATCAGTGGTGGTGTGATGGCTCACAAGCTGTTCAGGCGCGCTGCGGCCCTTTACTGGCTTCCGCGTTGGATGCTTGGCGCCCTCAGTGCGGCCGAGCCCTGGCTGGGACTGCTCGGCGCGGCCTGGGTGGCGAGGCCGCCCCCGTACCCATCGTGCCCAGCGTGCCCGACGGTGGACGTCCGCTGCGAGCTGCGCTGCGGGACCTGCTCGGCCTGCCCAGTGTGCCCGCCGTGCTTGGCGTTCACCTGAGGCGCCCAGCCGGAGCGGACGTGCCCGGCCTTCCCAGCGGCCACATGCGAGGCGCCGGCGGCAGCGCCGTGCCCCTCGCCTGTCCCGGCCGACGGCTGGGGTTTCCAGGCCTGGTTTTTCTTCGGCTTGCTCGTCGGCCTGGTGCTGGCGCTGGTGCTCGTGGCGGGGCTGGTGGCTCTGCGGCGGTTCGCGGCCCGTGTCTTCGATCGGGGCGGTGGGGCCGACTTACGACGGGATTGACGGGCCGCCTGGCCCAGGGCAGCAGCCGCCGCGCCTCAGGGCCATTAGAACGTGATGGCCGCGCAGGCTCGCACGCTCGACGCGGCCGAGAAGCAGGTGTGCATCAACTTCGACGACGACCCGGATTTTCGTTGACATGATCGGCTGAATCGGCTGCTGCTGGTTCAGGGAACCGCGGCTGGCGATTGGATTGGCGCGACGCCCGACGGGGAGATTTTAGGTCGTGCAGTTTTCTGGCCATCTCGTGGTGGTCTTGACGAGGACCGCGCCCTTCCCCCAGCGGGTCCGCGGGAGCGTCTACGCCTTCGGGCCGCTCGACGACGACGCGGTGGACTACCTGCGGCTGGAGGGGGGGGAACCTCGCGCGCGTCCTCGGCGTGCAGGTTCCTGCTGGGCCGCCTGTCGCCCGCGTGGCGCGCGGGATGGTCGGCGACCCTGTGGTCGAGGGCTTCGGCAAGGAGATCGAGGCCGGCCCTCCCGCGAATCAGGGCCGTTTCGTCTCGCGGGGCGCGTTTGGGCTGGCAATCGTGGACGACGACGCCAGAGGTGGGTCGCGGTGGAGAACGAGCAGCCCGAGGATCAGCCCGAATGCCTGGCGGAGAAGCAGCGGGGGCCGGGTCGCGACCCGAGCGCCCTGCCGATCCCGGCGCTGGCCCGCGGTAAGCGGGTCGCCCTCCCCACCGTGCTCGCGGCCTTGAAGCCCCATGGCCGTTCCGAGGCCCGAAGGCTCGAATTCCCCGAGGCGGCGAAGGGCTCGGGGATGCCGGCGCACTAGGGCCACTGGGTCGAGCAGTCGGGCGCGGGCCGCCAGAGCGGGCCCGCGCTGCAGGAGCTGAAGGTTATCCTCGAGGCGCTGCACGCCCTGGCCCACGACAGACTCAACGCGGCCAACCTGGCAAGCTTCGAGCTCATGGCCCGCCGGGCCCTCCAGATCCAGCGGGCCGTCAAGCGGCGCCCTCGCCACCCGACGTCAACGAGGAACCCGACCTGATGCTGAACAGCGAGCTCGACGAGACGGGCAGAATTGCGACTTCCAAGCTCGACGCCTTCACCGCCGAGGAGCAGAATAATCGCGAGATCATCCCCAAGCAGGAGCGCCTCTGGCCAGAGGAGCAGGATCACGAGTCGAAGAAGCGCGGCCCGGGCGCAACGGCCGCGGGGCCCGACGGGGGAAAGGAGCGACGGCCGACCAATCCCACGCCGAGGGGGAAGACGCGGGCCGAGGCCAAGGCCGGCGACGGCTGGCGGCGCCACGGCGGCGCCGCCAGGGCTGGGCGCACCGCCGGGCCCCCGCCGCCCAGCGCGGCGCCCGCTGCTCCAGGGGCTCGCGCCGGGCGGCGGGTCTCCGAGGGGGTCTCCTCCAAACGGCCATCCTGCGTTGTTTCCACTGCCTGAAGGCGGTCGCCTTTTTCTCGCCGCCCGACGTGGAGGGCGCGCCGCGCGGCCTCGGCATCTGGCCCAGCGCGCCGCGCGCTCGGGCGGGCGGGGTCGGCGAACCGTCGAGGCCATCTCCTCCATCAGCGCGCTCAGCGACGCGGGGGCTGGCCGGCCGCCGCGGGCGCAGCCGCCCAGCGAGTCTTCGCCGACTACCAGGAGACGGCCATCAGGCGGACCCGACGTCGAGTCCGAGATTTTGCGGGCACCCCCTCGGACCAGGATCGCGCTGGGGCCCCGCGAGAGCTCCTTCGCTGCAAGAACCTATATATTGGCGCAGGCGAGTACCTGACCCGCCGAAACTGCGACCCTGACGAGCTCGACGTGTTCGCGACCTCCGACGCCCCGAACAGGCCCCAGGACGCGGCCCCGTCTCGCGCGGCCGAGGCCTCCGAGCATTTCGATTCCGACGCGGCGGGGCCGTTCGCGAACATCACCTCGGAAGAGGCGGAAGGTCGTCGAGCCCAATTGGGGCCCCCTCCTCAACCCTCGTTCGAAGGCGAACGGACGTCGCCTGGTGGATTTCCTTTTACGGGTGGCGAGGCGCGCCCTGGTGGGCGACCGCCGCCGACGCGAGGCCTGCGTCGGCGCGCTCTTCTCGGCCAAGAAGAACGGCGACATCCGCATGGTGGTCGACGCCCGCCTGGCGAATTGGCTTCATCGGCCCCCGCCCCGCGCTGCCTTGGCCGGGGGCAAGGTGCTGGGCGCGATCAGCTTATTCTCGACGCTGTCGACGCGTCGCCGGTGGACCTGGCGGACTTCGATTGCCGTTTCCATTCGCTGCGCGCGGGGTCGGTGGAGCTGCGGGGCGGCCACTGCAAGTTCAGCGACCCGCCCCGGGGCTCCTGGGCGCGCTTCGACGTGGAGGTCACGGCCGGCGAGCTCGGGATCTCCACGATCTACGACGAGGCCCAGCGGCGCCGGGCCCCCGTGGCGCCAGACGAGGTCATCTGGTCTTGCCCCCCCCCCCGACTGGCTGGAGCTGGGCCCTGCGGGTGCGCCGCGAGGTCCTCGTCGACGCGACGGTCGACGATGCCGCGGGCGCCCCAGGGGGCGCGCGGGTGCTCGACGGGGCCCGCGCACCACAGCTCCACGGCGGCAGAGTGGCGATGTCCCCGCGCGTGGACAACGGGAACACGGTCTCGCTCTCGGCCGACGCCCTCAACGAGCGGCCGCCCGCCCTCGCGGCCGAGCTGGGCCGCGGCAGGCCGCGCTGGAACGAGCTCGAGCGGGCTCAGCCGGGGCCCTCGAACCCCCGGCCTCGCCCTCGATGGCAGACGGGGGCGCCTGCGACGCAGCCCGCAGCGGGCCTGGAGGCCGCGCGCGACGCCCCGCCGCGTCGCGCGGGCGCCCTGACTGCCGCGCTGGCAGCCGCGGAGGAACATGGCCAGCAGGTGCACTGTTTCTCGGCGTTGCGGCCGGGCCTCAGCGCCTTCGGCGACTGCCGCGACTTCGAAGGCTCGGGCCCCCCGGGCCCCGTCGTGCGACTGCCGCCCGGCGCGGCGGCGGAGCGGCGAGCGGCGGCAGGGCTCATCTTCTTGGCCTGCGACAGGCGGCGGCGGACGTCGCCTGGATCGCCGACAGCCCCCCCAGGAACAGGCGCCCGCGGGAGGGGGCGGCAGCGCTGCGTTGCCGCGGACGCGCCCGGCGACCTCGACCCCGAGATCTGCCCGGGGCGGGCCGCGGGGATGGTCGAGGCCAGCGGCGACTTCGACGCGGGCCCCGGACCAGGGCCCCGGCGCGCCGTCGCGCGGCGGCGGCGGGTCGAGCTCGAGATCGGCGCGCCGCCCGCGGCGCTGCCGGACGAGCCGCTGGCCCCGCGGCGCCGGCAGGAACTGCGGCGCGGCGCCTGGCCGCAGCACCCCAGGCACACGCGCGCGCGCGATGCTCGGGCGGCGGCGGCGGCGATGCCCCGCGCAGCCGCCGACTCGAGCTCCCGCGGCAAGGAGGTCCTCGGCCCGCGCGAAAACGCGTCGAGTTTCTGCACTTTGCGATGGGCCGGGCCGCGATCTGGGAGCTGCTGGCACAGCGCTGGAAGGTCGCCGCGATTTCCTTCGCGAGCTCCGCCCGCGCTGGGGGCGCGCGCCGGGCGTCGCCAATGTGGCCGACGTGGCGGGCCGAGCCGCAGATCGCTGCGAGCCGCGACCGGGCCGCCACCGTGGCCGGGGGCCGCTGCGGGCCCCGTCGCTCGGGCCCCGCACCGAGCTCGCGCGGGCCGCACCGCGCTCGGCTGAAGGGCCGACGTCGTCAATCACCGCGGTCGAGAGCGCTCTCTGTCCAGCGACGGATTGCGCGCGCTCGACGCCAGGCGTCCGACGTGGCCCGCCTGCACCGCGCTGCGGGCAGCTATCCAGTCGAGAGAGACGGAGTGAAGTACACCCTCGTTCTCTCCCTTATCTTCTTCCTGCCCCTCTCATCAATGCGAGAGTGCTCGGGCGATCGATGCTGCGCTGCTGCTCTTAGACCTGACTATCGCATCTCCGCCGACGTTCTCTCCTGCGCTGCCGCCGATCGACTACGCCACGGTTGCAATGCCGACGCTCGACGCCGCGCCGCCGCCGTTCGACCTGGACTGGAGGACCCCGGGCCGCTCGGCATCCACTTCGTCGCCGACCGACGCCGCTTGCATCTGAGCTGCTGGCCGCGCTGGTCCGCGACCTGCCCCCGCGGCCCTTCGACCTCCTCGGGCGGCGGCCCCGACTGGATCGCCGCGGCCGCGAGGCCCCGCGAGGCCGTCGCCGGCGCTCGGGGATCGCTCGGGAGGCGCCGGACCTTCTCGGGGCGCGCTCGTCTCGGGGGCTTTCCACGAGGCCGAGCTAAGATGCTTCGCGCCGACCGACGTCCGACGTGGCCCGCGCAATGACTTCGCTTGACTCGGGTTTCGGCGTTTCGCGGAGTCTCGGTCCTAGCGAGGGCTGGCCCACGCGGCGGGCCCACATCGGGCCCCCCTGCGCTGGGCGGGCCCGCTTCGGGGGCGAGCGCGGGCCGGGGCCGACGCGCCGCTTAGACGTCGCGCGGCGGTTGCCGCGGATCAGTCGGCGGCGGGGCACCCACGTCGCGTTCGAAAACCCGCGGGGCAGCCGCGCCCAGCGGCGCCTGCCCGCGGCGCGCGAGCTGCGGCGCCTCCGCTGGCCGAAGGTGGTTTCCGACGGCCGCGGAGAAGCCTGGCGCGCTGACAGGCTCGCCGGGCGGGCTCGGTGACCTGGCGCCCCAGGGCGCGCGCAGCGCGCGGCGCTAGGTCACGCCGCGCGGCGGAGGGTCTGACACCCCGCGCGGGGCTCGGTCTAGCGGGCGACGCTGGCCAGCGTCCACCAGCCCCGAACTAGCCGCGAAAGTCAGGCGCGCCAGGGACACGCAGTGGCGAGCGCGTCGCCGAGTTCCTCAGCCGAGCGCCTCGGGCGCCCCCCGCCGCCCTCAGCGGCGCTGGCCCCCCTGGCCCGAGTCGCCGCCGCCCGCTCTCGACCCGGGGCCGCGTCGGCGCCGGCGACGCCCAGGCGCCTCGCGAGCGCACGGCGGCCCGAGGCGCCAAAGGTTTTCGCGCAGCGGCTCCGCGCTCGCGGCGTCCACGGGCGGCGCCGGCAGCGCCCCGCCCGGCCGCCAACGCCCGCGGGGAGGCGAGGGCCGGCTGCGCCCGCCGCGCGCACCTCGGGCCGAGGCCGTGGCCACGAGGAAGCGCCAGGCAGCGGCCGCCGCCAGGGCCGACGCTTCGGTGGCTGAGCGGGACTGGGCGCCGGGCGAGCACCTCCGCCACCCGCGACGCCATTGGCAGCGCGGCGACGAGGGAGGAAGGACGACCACGGCGACAACGACGACGGAAGCGACGACGACGCCAAGACGACGACGACGACGACGACGACGACGACGAGGAAAGACAGAAGACGACGACGGCGACGACGACGACGACGACGACGAGGCAGGAGGGAGGACGACGACCACGACGACGCAAGAGCGCGCGCACACGCTTTTGTTGGAAATCCGTGTTGCGAAACCTTGTGTTTTTATATGTTTTTTGGACACGATTTTGAAATCCTTCCGAAACCGAAGATTTTTGAAGGATTTGGGCATACGCGCGCGACGACGCGCGCGTTTGCACTTCGTCCCGTTTTTTGCGGAGGATTCTCGCGACGTCACACGCGCAAGGGCGTTCGACAGATTTCGACATGCGCGCGCGAAGCCCGTTTGGTAGCATTTGAGGAAAATATTGAAAAACCTATGGTTTTCTTAAGATTTCGCAAGAGCTCGCGCGTAAGCTTTTTTAGCAAATCAGTGTTGCGAAACCATGTGTTGTCGTTTGTTTTTTGGAAATTCAATTTTGATATCTCTCCGGAACCGAAGGTTTTCGGAGGATTTCGGCATGCGCGCGCGACGGCGTGCGCGTGCGCCGGTTGGCCTGGGACATTGTGATTTCATATGTAGGATGGACATGTGGTCAGAATCATATGTGATTTACATACCCGAAAGGGGGGGCGATAACTCCGGGGGGGATAGAGTCTATTCTGCTTTTAGAAAGGAGAATCTACGTCCTGAGCGATCTACCTAGTGCAATCCACCGGCGGCGACGACGCGGGGCGGCGACGGCGAAACAAAAACCGCCAGACCGAACACGCGGTGCAATCCTTAGAGCAGAAACAAAAACCCCTACATGCAGACAGTGACTGGGGAATCATTACGATTAACTATCTTAGGTGTTTGAGTGTTGTCTGCCTTTTCGAGCGCTCGCTTCCAATGAGTTGTAGGGACCTCAAACAAGTTTCAAACATTGCTCCGAGATCGTCCAAGAGAACCGTTCGAGGTGCCGATGCGGCTTCAAGAAAGCCCTGAAGATCCCCTAGCGCGACCAAAGCTGAGCCCAAGAGGTGATTATTAGGGTTCCTGCTTGGGGGATGTTGGGGTAGTTGGCACCGACCCTTCCGTTGCCTGGGTGGTCCAAAGGTGACCGCCATCTCGGGCACCCCAAGAGAGCCCAAAATGGATTCAATTGCCCCCCCAGTAAGGTGTGGCTAAAAAACAGGTTCTGGATAGCTTCAGTAGGCATCCAAGCGGCCTCTAAGTTCACAATTGCTGGCCGGCCTGCTTCACTGTGCGTGTGCGTATCGTCTTCCATTTTCCCGACAGCTCGTCCGGGCATCGCTTCTGGATGGGTTGGTCGGGACACGCGAAGCGTCAAATCTTGTTGTTGGCAGATTATGAGTCCCTCGGGTGCATCGGGGGCCCTCTTGAGAGCACGTGAGATCTTTAGGCGGTCTTCGGGCAGTTGTAGCAAATTTTGGGGACCGCCTGGTCAGGTCTAGAGGTCGTGTTGTAGCTCTCATGGGGCGGTCATTGGGGAACGCTTTTGCAGGCCCCAGAAATCCTACCAGACAGTTGACAGGTATTCTAGCACGCTCACTGTGTGAAACGCACGGCGTCGGATATGGGAAAGGTCTTCGGTTCTAGGGGCTTCGGTTTTCGCAAGGGCTTCCTGGCTGGTCTCGGGGCCAAGAAGACCACGGGGAGTAAAAGTTGCAATCCTTAATGTTGGGGCGCGGCGAGAAACTTACCAGACAGCTCAGGGGCATTCTAATCACAGCCAGCGCTCCAGAGGGCACGGCGACGGATCCCCACAATTTCTTCGAAGAGCGCACGCAAGAACTAGGTTTACGACGAGCTCGCAGTCGTTGGTACAGCCCAGGCGAGATTTATGGGACCGAGTGGATCGCCCTCCTAAGGAGCAGGGTGCCATTATGCCATCTCCAGTTCGAGGTTTTGACCACATACCGAAATGTGCTCTGCAGCGTCAAAATCAGAATCCACGTTGCCATCTTTGTCTGGCTGTAGCTGTTGCCCCATTCTATCGCCATCGCGATCAGATTGCATTATCGACCGATGTTCCTTAGGCGTTCATTCGCTGCTGCAAGCGCCTGTAGCCACATGTCGTGAGTCGAGCGACGCGGGACCCAATCATTTGTGTATCGGTCTCTCTCTCTTTCCTCTATATCTCTCTCTATATATGTATATGTTGATGTGAATGTGTGACACCCCGCACTTGCGGATCAGAGAGAGGGGGGGCGGGCGCGGGGTGGGTAGTGGGTGGGTCGCGGGCGGGTCGCCAGTGGGTCGCGGGGTGGGTCGCGGGGTGGGTCGCGGGGTGGGTCGCGGGTGGGTCGTGGGCGGGTCGCCGGTGGGTCGCGGGTGGGTCGGGGATGGGTCGCGAGTGGGTCGCGGGTGGGTCGTGGATGGGTGGCGGGTGGGTCGCGGATGGGTCGCGCGCGGGTCGCGGGTGGATCGCGGGCCAGGTCGCGAGAGGGACGACGACATCAACGCAACGCAACGCGCTTCAACGAAACAGCAATCCGCACCTCGGAACCCCACTTCAGCTAACACCCAGGGACAGTGAATGACCGTTCGGCCCCTCATTCTAATATGCACAAATCTCTACATGTATGTATGTGTGTATGTGTTGGTCCGCCGTGTCTCGCTGCTGCTAGCTGAACTTTGAATGATCTTCTGGCGGGACGGCTGCCGAGACGATGCGCACGGTCATTGATTGCCCTATTCTCTCCAGTTCTGGCCCCGTCTCGATGGAAGCCATACGGTGGTGGCTCCGATGCAAGACGCGCAACATGGGCGATGAATTCAAAGATGAAGATGATACAACAGACGCCCCGTCACACAGGCCCGGACGGCTCCGCGGCGGCGGCGCTGCCGGGAACCGCTCGCCCGCGAGGGGAAGAGCAAGCCGGCGGGCCCCGCCGTGCAGGGGCACCACAAGGCTCGGCGGCAGCGGGGGCGGATATCGACTCAGCGGCAGCAGCGGCGGCCGCAGCAGCGACAGGCGCGATGTCATTTTTTGTGGGTCGAGTGGCGTGCGAGGTCTTGTCTCGGCGACTACAAACGGTATGGTTATGCCGGGGTGTGGTTTGCGATCGGCACCGTCGGGGCCTGGGGAGCACGACACTGTCCTCGTCGG